AAAAATAGCTTTTAGGTATCATTATGAGCTCTTTGTAAATGACCTCCCCTGCTCCTTTCTACAGATAGACCAGTTTTAAAGACAACACATCAAAACCTGCAATAGCCAAGCGGCAGAGGAATCCAGCAAAGTACTCATGGCTGTTCTCTCATTCCATCCCATGTCTTTTCATTAAACTAACAATTTGAACAGCCTATGGCCCTTATTCAACTCCTTTAGCTTTTTGGGTTTTTTTTTTTACTTACAAAACTAAAACCATTTCCTGTGTTTCACATGAAACAGCAGGAGGTGGCTTAAGATATTAATTAAATAAATCAGGAGAGGGAAAACTGAGAAGCATTGTTTCCTGTCTTACCGTAAATTACAGATTAGTAAATACTGGCGATCTCTAAGACATGCACAAAGCATAGACTGAAACTGTTCCCTTAGTGGACTTAAAACTTAGGGGGAAAAACACAAGAAACCCCAGAATTTTACAGGATTCCAGATTTTCTCTCTCCTGGGGCACTGTAACTGGCCTGTGAGTTTGTGACCACTGCCACCCCTTTCAGTTCCAAAATTCTGAAATTCTCTGCATGCAGTTATATTAGGGTCATTTTAAAATACCTGTTCATGACCTTTACCCAAACACCTTAAAATGCGAAGACTGTACACTGATTTCGTGTATGTCATCAGAGAGAATTCACTAAAAGAAGGGGATATACAGAGAATTAAGATGTGATCTAGTCCCTGACTTGCTCATGTACAATACATGAAAGGATAGTTTTTAAATAAATTACTTGGGCTGCAGAATATGGGTGGCGTTGTGACTGTTTGAATCCTTTCAATGCATTTCTTCCATATATGTACCATGTGTCCTGTCCTTAAACGGTGGCAAGCAGGGTGACCGTAATGCCATGGTGGCATTATTAATGCCAAATGAATGAATGAATATATCAGTATAGTCGCTGCATATAGGAAGAGCATTGCACTTCCTGCTCATGATGTGCTGGATGAAATAGGGACAGTACTGGCAAGGAGAGGTAAGGAAGGAAGTTTAAGAGTGTGAGTGGGTTGCAGCCACCGAGGGCACGTATCCAGTCCTTGGCACTGGTGACCATGTGGAATGACTAGCAGTCTGACAGCTAACTGTTGCTTCTGTTGTTTGGTCTAAATATACATGATGATATCTGGATCTGGAAAACCAAATGAATTAAGTCATCAGTATATTCGCTGCGTAGAGGAAGTGCACCAAGATGAAAGGAGCAATAAAACCCTGACGAGCTGAGAAGAGCATAGACAGGATGTTCAGATCTAGTGAGGAAGGCAGAAGCGAAGGAATGAGCAGAGTCGGAGCCCGATACTAGAGTGCTGGCTATGAACACATCCGTGTCTTTCCAGCCAGGAAAGCTGGAGAGCCTCCAGCCTTCCTCGTTTCATCCTCTCCTGATTGGTGGGTTGGAGAATTGAGGACGAGGGTTCTCGGGCATGTGTCAGGACTGGACTCATGTTCTTTCCAACCAACACAGTTAAAACAAGGACCATTTCGACCAGTTCCACTGAGGCAATGCTTACTTCTGTCTATAGTCAGGTAGGCCTGCCCTGGCGAGGAACATTTTGGCTCCAAAGAGACATTCCTTTCTCTTTTCCTTGACAAAAGCTGTTAGCAGCATGGCTGGATCTCTCCTTGGTTATGTTGGGGGGTCTGTGGCTTCTTTGCTGCCTGGGTCTCCTGGGGCACAGGCCCCCAGCCCATGAGCATGTGGGGGCAAGGTGGTTCACAGACACTGAGTCTGCAGTCCTGCTGGAAAGGTTTCATTCTCCTCCAAGTTCACTTGCAACAGTGGAGAATGAAATGAGTTCCAATTGCATCTGAAAATTGGATTTAGAATTGAAGGCAGCTCCAAAGCATCAGGACAGGTAGTGTTCACTTCGCTTGCTGTAGTTACTTCCATAAAAGGCGAGATGGCTAGCCCCACACTCTGGGGCCCTCCCTCACTGATGGAGCACAGAACCTAGGGGTATAGGGGTGCTGACACTGACTCACTAAGTTATGTGAATCACTCAGCCCCTTTAGGACTCAGTGTTCTCATCTGCAAGATGGGGGCATTGAATGAAGTGATTTCTAATTTTCTTGCCCATCTAACAATCCATGGTTGTTCATAAGCTCCCCTCTCAATAAAGTTAGCTCAGTTCAATAGAGAAACGTGAATGGACAGACTTGACCTTTTGTAGGGTCTGCTTTTAGCCATCGTTGACAAAAGAGGTCCAGCCCAATTTAAGGTCATTTCTTTCTACCTCGTCCGTTCTTGGTCCACCTTGTTTCGGTGCTATTTTAAGACGAACACTCACGAAGTATCTGTAATTAGATTTTTGCCCAAGCTGGGAGACCTGGGAATGTGCTAGCTAGTTTTTAAGATTCCATGTTTAAGTGCTATGACCCCTTCAATTTCCCCTAGGATGATTTTAATTATTATATGGATTCTTTCAGAACTGCTTCAATATTCTATTGGCAACTACTGCTTTATTTCACCAAATAGTTTTTAAATGAGAGCTCATTTGCTTTTTTTTTTTTTTTTCCATTTCAGATTAAGACATCAGTTATTTGGGCAACCCCAAACGTCTCCTTCTCAATCCCATTATGGGTAATAATACTAGCAATACTTCTTGGATTATTGGTTCTGGCTATTTTGACCTTAGCTTTATGGAAGGTAAGTTTATTTACTTTCTTCTTTTTGAGTAGAGAGGCCGCTGAAGGGGTTTAGACGGATATACATATGAATTTAAAAGACAATGCTAGAGGTGTGATTTGGGGATTTTTATAAAAGGAACATTGTATCTTACTTGGCAAACTGTATGCTTGTGTTGTTGACATTTAAGAAGTCTGGGGCTGATTAATGTTCCTTTTATCTTGATATTTCCTATAAATAAATATAGAGAGAATTATAATTTACTAAGACTTGTGATCTTTCCAATATGCTTTGGAGTGATAATGTTATTATGAAATCTTCTTTTTCTTGTTTAATTAACCAAGATCTTAAAGCTTTTTATTGATATGGTCCTATCGGCCGTTCTTTGAGATTCTTCTTTATAAGCACTACATAGATGCAATTAATATAATAATTAATTGATACTTGGATTATCGAGTAGGGCAAATAGATCATGCAAGTTATAATTTTCTTAGACTTTTTTTTTTTTCATCTTGCCAATTAGTTCATCTCCAGTAGGAAGCCTTCACTTACCCTTTCATGTGTTCTACTGAAGTTTGTTCTAAAAATCTATAATAGGATTTAACTTCTGGCCCCCAAACAAACACGACTCCAAGTTTCACAGAGCCTTCCATTCCAAAATAGAAACAACGCCACAATTACATGACTATCAGAGTAATTAATCCAGTCACATGTTACTTAACCACTATTGTCGCGGTTGTCCAAAAACCAAAGTGTGTTTTTACTTTAAAACAATATGCTTAATAGACTTACTGAGAAAACCTTGTCTTTCAAGTTAAATAATGGCTTTTCTGGTCATTAACAGCTGTTTTGTGCTGTCCTGAGCCCACGGAGTCTACTACATACCTTTAGAAATAGACTTTTGTGTTATTCTGTTATTTATAGTACCTGCAGTTCCATGAATGTGACAGTGATATGTGTCACTTGATAGAACATTGCACTAGTCCTACAAAAAGAAAGATGACTGTAGTTAAACGCCATACCCAGTGAACTTGGCTTCCAGCGTAAGAAAAAATAAATAAGAATTGAGGTTCCAGGTTTCTAGGAAAGGATGTATTCTCTCCTAGACCAAATATTAATTTGAAATTCAGGAGGATAAACATTCGAGAATCATCTCTTCCCTGAGTTGCTGGTTAATCTTTGTGCAAAGTCCCTAACATGTTCTGGGATTGAAATAAATAACCAATCTAATTTTCCTCTACATACTATCCGTTCCACCAAGTGCAGAGGGTTCTGTATGCAAGCGCCCCCTCACTTCCCTCTGTAATCCATCCGACAGAAGCCTGCAGTACACTTCAGGAGAGAACCTCCCTCCTCTGGTCGCAGTTAGCACTGCTGCTGGCTCCAGAAAACACGCAGGAAAGCAGAGAGGGAATCCTTGGGCCATGTAGCTCTAATCCCAGGAATATGTACAAGGTTCCTAAATGGTGTGTATAAAACAGAAACATTCTCACGCTGCCAGGACGTACCAAGAGGAAAGACATGAGCGCTGCCCTATGCAGTGACTTCCTCCGCAGGTAAAGAACACTGATTTCAACTCCTAATTTGGAGACTGGGGAAGATTATCTTCACAGAGCTCCACATTCCTTAAAAACCTATATAAAGTGAAAATTCGTAGAGTGGGGCATTTCCCAAATTCCTAGAATGACTTGATTTTACAGCGCGGTTTTCTTTTTCGTAGTGCGGATTCTTTGACAGAGCGAGACCTCCTCAAGATGATACAAATGACAGGGAGCAGCTGACAGATGAGAAAACCCCTGGTGCATGAAAAGGAAAACCGAAGACCCCAAAACTCCAACACCGGTCCCATTCCCAGAAGAGAAGGAGCGTAGGGGTTAAACGGTTTTCCTGTACCTGCCAGTGTCCTAGGAAATGAAAGGGCCCAGGAATACATCACCTCAACTGTGCCGCGGAGCCCAGTGACCCTTTTGGCAAAGGCAGCATCATCGGCACGGTGGAAACGATCAGCCATCATGGGAGATATCTGTTACTTGAGTTGTTCTGTATTTGGCAGACGCTTTGAAATGGGTAGGGGGACCGAGGTTGCTTTCCGGGTAAATCCAACGTATGTCGCAAAGACAAAAACGTCTGTTACGATAGAATTTAGAAGGTGATCTAGGACCAGGCCTTCCAACACTACTGTATCCAATGGAATATTTGACACCTCCCTAATGGAAAAGACACATTTCTAATGATGTTATGGCTCAGGGTGACAAGCATCTGTTGTTGGTACTGTGAAAGTACTTCTGAAATGACAAAGATGATCTCGGAAGCGAGGATCACCATTTATTTATTTATGTTCCAGCTCTCTAGAGGTCATCTAGAGGATTCGGAAATTAAGATTTGGTTAGCTGGTTTTTGAAATCACTCACTAAATTTCCTTCTAAGATAACCATTTTGTGCAGGTCAGTTGTTTAACAGAGCTTCTTCAAGATTTAGACAGTGTCAAGGAAAAGCAAATTGGCATTAGGAGATAGTTTCACTTAATATTTTGCTGCCTTCCACCTGAAATTACTTTTACTCACACTTTCTAGGGACTCACATCTGCTTAATTTAGCTTTGTAAAAAGTTGCATTTATAGTTCCTTTTATAAAAAATAATTGTTTCGTCAACTTGATTAGCAATACACAAATTTCAAGGTACTCTCAACACTGTGTGGTGTTTAAAAGTCATGGGTAACATTTCTAGAGTCCATTAATAAAAAAATCAATTTAACAATATGGATGAACATTATTTTTAAGATCTATAAGAATCAATGAGTTAGCTTCAGATTAAATACCTATTTTCTCTACTGTACCTCAAACTTATGAACACAGAGAAGACATGCGAAATGCAAATAGGAAGGAAATACAAAGTTATGCAGATGTGAGATGAACCTAGAAAATGACTCCGAAGGATTTCAGGATTGCCTATTCGGCTTCGCTACTCATTTTTACTGCTAATCTTTATAGTACATGATTTAGGAAAATAATCTTTATTGAAGCTATTTTCCCATCATCTTGAATTTAACCACCACGAAAACCTGATGTTCAAAACTCTTGTAAATAACCCATATTCGTGTGTAATATTATTGTTTTTGAAGTAAAACTGACCAGCCAAATTCATATAGTCTGCACAATTTTGTATCCTTTTCATAATAATGACAAATTACTATGAAGAAATGAACAAATTTTATATTTATGTGCAATATTTTATAGACCTATGTATCTACAGCATGTTTACACTGGCATTAGTTATTTTTTTAAATAAATATCCTGAATATTAAGTATGATAGAACAAGCAGGCTCGACTCCTTAAGTTTACAAAGCTTTTGGAAAATTAGTATCCCAGTTTCAACCATCACACTTTGTTTGAAAGATGAGCCAAACTCATAGACACTAAATTTTCTGTCGTGCCTTAACCTGGAGACAAGCCATTTGGCTCTAGCTGCAAAGCTTCTTTGGAGACCAAACGAAAGGTACACGGAAGAATATACTGATGCAGTTCACATTCTTCCTGCTTCTGAATTGAAACCTGTCGTGGTAGCAGTTTGAAGGCAGCCAGGAAGGAAGTCTGGCTCCCTGTGTGTGTGGCTGGTGTGGGTGAGAATCCCACGTGCCTCATAGAGTTTGAGGGTCCCACGCCAGCCCCCAGTCTTAGGTGCTAGTAGGTAGCATTGGTTTTACAGGGAGGTGGCCATCTACAGCATATGATTGGAGGGATCCTAGACAGGTCTGTCTGTCCCCCAGTAATGCCCTAACTCTGTTGTAGTGCCTGACTTTTGGCCAATGGAGATGAGCTCTTCAGGATATTTGGCCATACGAGGTCCCTGAGAAAATGCACCTGTTGCCTTGTAAGCTAACATCTGTGAAGGAGCTTCCAAGTTCGTAGGGTTAGATAAAGGTAGACCCTGTGGGAGGCGTCATATGGACACCTGGAGAAACCAGAGATGTCAGGAGGAAGACTGGGACCCAGAACAGAGCAAGGTATGAGCGCTTTGAAGGCAAGCTCTGCCTTCCACACAGTCTCAGCCAAGAGTGGTCCCCTCTAAGGGGATGAGCATTACGACCTAAGGGCATTTCACAAAGGGTTGTCACACACACGGTGGCCCTCTCAACCACCTCGAATGTGGAAGCAAATGGGGGAGGGGGGACACTGACATCAGGTGACCCTTTCAGTCATCAGTTCCTTAGCATCCCATCTACACGTAGAATCCTCTAATCATGCACTGAGTATATCTGATTCTCGTCATAGCAATGCCAATCACTTTCATAACTCATAATATGCTGTGCTTCTCTTAGAGTCTCTCTACATGTTAATGTCCCTTTGAAAATTCTTGTATCTGGGTTTTTAAGATGTAGAAAAATGGGCAAATTGAGTTTTATAAATTTAGAGATTTTTATACAGTAAATGCACAACATGGAATAGTCGCCACTGAAACCCTGCTATTTCGACTCAACTTTTATTTTCCTTGTTTTATTTAAATGCATTTGTAGATATCTGTGAAGATTTACATGTACCTATTTACCTTGTCACTAATAAAATTAAAAATTAAAGACAAGATGATGTACTTGTGGTTTGTTTCACAAGCAACATAAAGCTTTCCCATAATGACAGACATCAAAGGTGTTCTGTCTTTACACCTTAACTCTTTACTATAAAAATATTTAACATTAGAAGAAACTTAAAAGAACAAAAATATGACACTCCTTTGGGATGGTGAAAATATTCTCATCTTAGACTGTGGTGATGTTTATACAACTCTGTGAATATACGAAAAAAAACATTGAGTTGTATGCTTTAAATAGGTGAGTTTTACGGTACGTGAATTATTCAACAAAAATGTTTTTAAAGTTTTTTAAGTCATTTCTAACACTCCCACCCTTATAATACTGATTGCTCTTCCCTACATTGCCTTTCAAATTTTGTTTATATATCAGGCTTTTTATGAAGCCTTCCCTCGAGTCTTGGCCAACTCAGAGGCTTCGCCTGTCCTTAAACAGCACTGTGTGAATTACTACACCTTTCCTTTTGTTTGCATGACTATCTTCCAGCTGAACTGACCCTCACGGAGAACAGCAACCATAGTTTTTCACCTTTGTGTCTCCTATACTTAGCACCAACATCTGGTATAGGGTCAGTGCTCAAAAACATTTCTAGAATGAATGAATGAATGAACGAATGAATGAATGAATGAATGACATGAACTTTTGTAACCTGCTTCCATTATGAAGCCCCATAGTGCACACATTTTTGTGTTCTCCTATTTGTAGTGTTTGTACAGTGTTATTTTGATAATTACCCGATATCCTGTTTAATTTGCAGACCATTGTTTGTTTAATCACCCCCCTCTTATCGAAAATAGTTGTTCAGATATTCCTATATTAAGATCATTGCTGGGTGAAAAGAGGTAAAAAATGAGAAGGGATTAAGAAGTACAAATTGGTAGTTACAAAATACACAGGGATGTGAAATACAGAATAAAGAATATAGTAATAATATTATAATAACTATGTATAATGCCAGGGGATCACTTTGTAAATTATATAAATGTCTAACCACTATGCTGTACCCCTGAAATTAATATAAAATAATACCGAATGTCAACTCTAATTGAAAAATAAAAATTTAAAGAAGAATAACATTAAGTCGAATACATTCATACATGAGGCTTCTTTTCAGTTATTTCAATGAGCAAATTTCATAAGGGTGGGTTGCTTGGCGAAAGTATGTAAAGATTTTTGGTTCTTGATAACATATTGTTTCCTGAGAATGCTAATCGTTTTGTACTAAGCTATATATACTATATCTTTCATAATCCTGTCAGTGTTTTAAAATATTTTAGTGTTTTCAGACATTACTTTACATTAATTTGTATTCCACTAGAATTCAGTACATTTAATGTACACATTTAATTTTGAGTTCTAATAGCTAGCAGTCATTCAATACAAGCCAACTTATTGGTCATACTCCAGAGGAAATTAAATACTTGCCACTTATCTGGCCAGCATTTATGGATCCCAGAGAGAAGAACCCAGTGTCTGCCTGCTTTCTCTATAGCCTAAAGCAAGCAGTAGGATGAATGTTCACTTCATATTCGATATCACTAACACTTCAAAGCCTAGACACATCTAGAGGTTGGTGGTGGTCCCAGGGTGCCTGTGTACCCCAGATGAAAAAATGCAAGACTTCCATGAAGCACCTGGAACTATCCATACTGGGCCAGCTCCACTGCACATGGTTAAAGCCTGCACATGCTCATAGTGAGAAAAGAGATGCTTTCATGGTAGTAAAATGCTTGGAAGTTGAATGCGTGCAATGAGAGCTCAGTCTTCTTGACAAATTCTGCAACACACTCACAGGTTACCCCTCAAAGCCATCATCCTGGCACCATCAGGAAGAGCTAAAACACGAAAACTTTGGTTGACATCCATGAATGTTAAGACAGTATCTCCCTGGGAATCTAAAGTTCTTTTCCCCAAATGTAGCAGATTTTCTCCTTCAGAACTCTGATGACAGTAAAAGTTTGGTTCCTTTCGCACGAGACATTTAGAGCATTACAGCTTGGGACTCGCTTGCCAGCTGAGTTAAACCCTAACCGTCACAGTGATGCTTCAGTCAACAGTGACTTCAGAATGGCCGGCGAGCATAAGGCACAACACTGCCTCTCATCTCAAATCTCCTGTCCCCGGGGCCCAAAACACCATCTGCCTGACACACTGCTTTTTGGAATTGTTTATGAGCGAGGTCTCTGTTATTGATGATTGTTGGACAAAATCCACATGGAAATGTAGCCTGATACCAGTGCCTCTTACAACAAAGTCTTGAATTTAACTTCTATTGGCA